CCATATTCTGCACTCCTGTAGTTCTTCTAGTGGGCCTCCGTAGGCAGGTTTGAATGTTTAGGAGACGTTGCCTCTACTACTCTGGAATACTCTGATAAAACCCTTTTGATTACGTGAATATAGGTAGATTGGTGTTCCATTTCTGTAATAAATAGTATTAATTCTCCTTCCATATATCTTAATTATGTAACAACTGTTGCTGCGTTTCATATGTCGGGCGCTGTCGGCTGCGCCACCCGATCCTCTTCTCCCTACCCCCTACCCCCACCTTAGTGGCTATCCCGGCCTCAAAGGCATAAGGCATAATAATTTGGTACTCGGTCCAAAATGGTAGGAGGGTTGCCACCTGAACAAGCCTTCGTTTGCGACTCATAAACAATTTCGGACGAGTTTCCCATTGGTGTCGTGCTAATCACCGTTACGGTAGATACGGCTGCATGTGAGGACTGATATATCCGCGCAGCACCGCAGACGCTTCGCACAATCCCTTCGCATCATACTGTACCTTCGCAAATGAAGCGATACGAGCATCAGGTACGGTCGTCCATTTGTGGGCGGGCGGGCGCGGTGGGCGTCCGGGTCGGTATGTTGCAGCTTGACAGGGCGTTTTAAGGGTACGTCCCTTGGAAAATGCGTCACGCAGCCCCCGTTTAGGGGCGCTGGATTCTGTCCCACTAGGCGTATTAATCCTACACGGCTTGAGGATTTATCGTGATATTTGCCTTCAAAGCACTCACACGTTCCACGTATGACCAGTGAGCGGAGGGGCAACCGGCAGAGGGGAGAAGAGGTTCGGCTCATCGAGGCCTAAGTCTCGCCTGGGGACAAGTCCTTTGCCCACAGCTTGCCATTCCCGTTATGGTTGTCATCTCCCAACCTGAACTCCTTTCACTTCTAATATCTGTTTTCGTTCTATGACTCCCTCGCTGTGACACAAGAACTTCTTATTGGTGTGGGCTCTTGTTTTCCTGACTTTTTTTGCATAGTTTTTCGTTTTTTCTCCCCAAGTGACTTTCACATATCACTTATGAAGATAAATCATCAACATACACCCCGCATCTCAGAGTTGGGGAGTCTTAGTTACGTACATCATTGAACATGACGGTAGCTGCGCTTATGGAGGGGTGCATCTTGCATTGTAGATAAGAGCAAACAGAAATACGTAAAAGCAAAGTGACGAAAAAACCTTCGCGGTATTCCAAGCGAAGGTTCTATCTATACATACATGGGTGCGCCCTTTATTCCATTAAATAGGGTATATGTTATCTTCACAAATACGGTCTTTTATTGAATCTCCCACCCAGTGAACTTCAAAACAGAAGATTCAAAGAGTTCAATAAGTTCATCTTAAAAAACTCTTTTTAAAAACGACCTGTGTGGGTGGGATATTAACTGCGGATGAACAAGCGAATGAATCAAGCCAGCTGTTCTCAGGTGTGTCAGCAGCTGAACGATAGCAAGGATAATTGAGTTTACATCCTGCCGAAAGACATGCTACATGCTTTGTCCCACCGTCTGATGTTCTCCCACTTTTTTCTTCCAAAAACATTTTTGTAGAATAATCCATAAATTTCATGTACACATAGTGTTATAGATGGTGTGATCTCAGTTCGTGACGGACGAG